AATGAACATTCCTGTATTTTCATCTTGAATTACCAACTGTTAACATTTTGTCACATTTTTTTTTTTTGGATACACCATTTGAAAGTAAGCTGCACATTCTATTTTAATGCTGTTTTTTTTCTTTATTGATTAAGTTATTACATATATGTCCTTATTCCCCCAATGGCCCCCAACCCCCCTGGTGTCTGTGTCCACTGGTTAGGCTTATATGCATGCATACAAGTCCTTTGGTTGATCTCTCTCCCTTACCCCCACCATCCCCTACCTTCCTAATGCTATGTGTTTTGTTTTGTTTTTTCAACTTACTAACACCATAGAAGAAGGGCCACAGGGTCGATATTCATAGGTATCTGAGTAGATATACACAGTAAGACACTTTTGAGGAAATGTATACCCTGTCAGCATACCCTGTCATAATTTTAAAAAGACTATTTTAGATCTCTCTGTTCATTATTTTATCCCAGGTGCCTATCTATAGACCCAGAATCATTATTTGTTTAATGAATAAAAGGTAATGGGGCAAGAATGACCAGGACAATTACTTGTCAGTTGGGACTTGGGGTAAAGGGAGGTGTTTAACATTCAAGTTCAGGTACTAAGGTTCCAATCACATTAGACACAGCCCTCACCCACCTATTAACACCTACTTAGAAGATCTACTTGAGAAATGTAGGGATGAAACTGTGTCAGTAAAACACTTAGAGTATAACTTTAAATAAACATATGGCAATGGCATCCTCATAAACATAAAATCAAGCCAACAACACCATTTCTATTACCAACATACCAAAGTGAAGTTAAAATATTTCCAAATTAATGTTCTGTTAACAGCACTGAAAAAAAAAAATCACATTGAAGTCTAAGAAAGTTTGTTACAGTCACCTACCTCTTGAGTTGCTATTTTACGATTTAATTCAGCTACTTTGGAAGAGGAATTTTCTACTGCGTTTTGGCAAAGGAGTTTCTCTATTTCCCTCTGATGAGATGCTTTGAGAGATGTGATGTGTGCTGCAGTGTCTTCCTTGACCCTTTAGAGCAAATGAAAGAAAACCACACATAAAAGCAGCTCTTCAACCGTTAATTCAGAAGCTAGCACAACAGCAGTGTAAGAAGCAAAGGGAGAGAGGGCACCAGTATCCACTGCATTGTGCTAGGGGACTCACACATTACTTACTGCCTAGAACCACTCACGAGCTCACAATTATTGACTGAGTTTAGGAGAGAGGAATGTATCTAGGATCCAGATCAATAAGCTGCAGACCTGTGGTTCGAGCTAGCACATCTGAACCTTAGAATCCAGGGCAGGCCTTCCACTCTACCCCCAGTGTGGGGCTGCACTTTCTGAGGGAATTGAATGTTCTAAATGTTCTGTTTGGATTTAAGGCAGAGGGTCTGCCTTGTCTTTTAATTAAGACTAAGATTTCTTGACCAGATTGTTATTTGGATAATCACAACTGTTCCCTTGAAAAACTCCAATGCTTTGTCTTGGCAACATTCTCCAGTTTCTGGCCTATGCGTATGACTCTGGGCTAGTTGCATGTTGCGAGAATAAAATTATTTTTACAGTAATTCTCAGGACACAGGATAACTGAACTTAGTTTGCACTGTTAAGTATGAGAGACAATTCATTTGTCTCTGTGACAAAATTTATGCATTCAGAGGCAGTTTAGTAAATGGTGCAGTTACAACTAAAGAGCTGATGCATTACTTATAGCTAAGTATTTCCTCTCTTATTGGAAATATTATTTGAAAATGACAGGATTTTAATCAAAGCAGATATTTAGTAAATCACTGTTGATACCTATTAACATAATAATTCCAAAACTACAAACAAATATATATCAGTTGCTCATTTGATTATATGAAAATCTCTTAAGTGGAAACTATGTGATTAGGGTCCTAAGAAAAGCATAAAAATCTGAAGCACCCATGGTATAGTGCTCATAATAAAAAACTGCCTGAATCTGGGACCAGGGAAGGTTATATCTCGATTCTCAGACCCAGAGCTGTCTGAGAAACATTAACAATACTCAAAAATTATAAATGTGTATAGAAAAATTTATAGAAAGCAAACCCTGAATTTTAAATTATTTCTAGGAAAGAATGTGATTATTTACAAATAGCTTCACTGATACTATCACATTCGGGACTATAGAAAAAAAGTTTCAACTTGGAAGCAATATGGTTACCATGACGACTCAATGAGAGGTCACCACCAATCAATCAATAAACCTCAACATGTTAGGTATTATCTGTGCTCATTCTGCTTCCTATGCTCATTCTGCCTATATTCTACCAGGACCTACCTCTTCCTTAATTCAAGTACTCATTACACACTGTGATGCCTCCAACTCTGTGTTCCTTGAGTAGTCAAATGTATTGACATCCTAATCTTCGAAGCGCGTTACTGTATATTCAATATATAATTTATATATTGCTTCATAAACATTAAATTAGCCCTAACCGGTTTGGCTCAGTGGATAGAGCGTCGGCCTGAAGGGTCCCAGGTTCGATTCTGGTCAAGGGCATGTACCTTGGTTTCGGGCACATCCCCAGTTGGGGGTGTGCAGGAGGCAGCTGATCGATGTTTCTCTCCCATCGATGTTTCTGAGTCTCTATCCCTCCCCCTTCCTCTCTCTAAAAATCAATAAAAATATATTTTAAAAAAATTAAATTACATTTTTGTACACCTGAAGACTTATTTTAACTCTCACACTCAAAGATTTGTGTTTACAGGTTGTAAAAGAAGTATAATCCTAAATCAGTTCTCAAGGAGCTACAAGATAGAGTTATGATTAGTGTTTCGTGGTATATAAATTACATAAGAGCTCAAAGGCAGAGGCAGGCAATTTCCTGGGAAGGTCTAGGAAATATTTTGTGGAAGAGGCAGGACTTGAAACATGAACAAGCAAAAGGCAGTGAAGAAATTCAGCAAGTCAGGCTTAGAAAGTCTGATTTTTGAGGAGGGAGAATAAAGAGAAGTCATGAGTCAATTAAAATGAACAGAAAAAAAATTTTTAGTCAGAGTGGCCAAATCATGGAGGTTAAGGGAGGGAACCACTCAAGAAAGCAGTACGGTGGACAATGTCAAGGACAACGAGGATGGAGACAACCCCACTGGTCTGGGAAAAGTCATTACTGAGAGACCAGGTTTGAAAGAATGATGAGAGCCACATGGGGAAAAAAGAAGAGGCTACTTGTGGGAAACCGGTACAGAAAGACAGAAAGGGGACCAGAACTTGGTGTGATCAGGCGAAAAAATCTGAGCATGTTGGAAACCTCAGAGGAAAGACAGCGATAGTACTTGGAGATTCTGAGGAGGAAAGAGATGAATGGATGTGACCACAAGATTAATTTGGAAGAGTTATTTTGGAAAAAAGGACCCTGTCCTCTTAGAATGTCACCCCTTTTTCCTAATAGCTGTTTTTGACAGTAATCTACCTATGGCAATCACAAATAATGATATTCATTTGCAAGAAGGCCCACTAGCACCATTTGAATTCTTGCAGAAAGAAGACAAGATTGGTCAGCCCAGGACATGGTGTGGGTTCACATGGAGATTCAGGTTCATCAGAATCTGGTTCCAAAATGAAACAGATCTATGCTAAGCAATGTAATACAATTTCTTAAAATTCAGTTCAGGGTATAACTAATTATCTAGAGGAAATACATCTTATAATTTAAAAACTTATCTTTTTGTCTCCACATATTAACAAATTCACATTTTACCTTTTCATGGAATTCTCAAACTGGTTCATAGCTATGTCAGATTTCATCTTCAACTCATTCCTCTCCACGATTACTTTCTCCAGTTCATTTTTCAATCTGCAGTTTTCTTGCAAAACCTCTGAAATGTGGGAATCAGTGAAAGTATGTGGTTGGTAAAGCTTGCCATCCAGGGTTCCAGGGAAGGAGTTGGCACTTCCTTTACCTGCGTGCGAAACTTCCTTCTTTGCCCTTTTTGCAGTCATTTCCTCCCTCCCCTTGGAGTGCTGACTGGATAGCATCATTCTTCTCTCCTTCTGAAGCTTCTCCACAGTTTTCGAAAGGTCTTGTATTTCTCTCCCCTTTGCCGCCAGCTCCTCATTGAGTCTTGCCAGTTTAGCTTTAGCATGAGCCTGTTCCACCTGGAATTCGATAGACTGGAAATCTTTATCATCTCTATTTTTCTTGAGTTCTAACTCAGCATTCTGTTGTTTAAACGTGTCTATTTCAGCTTCAAGGTTTCTTACAGTGATTTCATGGGCTTCCTTAATGTCGTGAAGTTCTTTCTCCAGTGCTTTAACCCTGGAGGAGTTGTCATGTTGGTTCTGGGATGCTGCCTTCAATTTGTGGGCAAGCAGCTGCTCCTGTTCCTCTAGTCTCTGTTCATACTGAATCTGAAGAAAAGAATCCATGTAATGTCAAACCACTGCTAAATATTTCATTAGTTACTGAAGCCCTGTATCCTACCAGGACCTACCAATTCTCTTATACAGGCACTTATTACACACTGTGATGCCTCCAACTCGGTGTTCCTTGAGTCAAATGCATCGAAGTCCTAATCTTTGAAGGGCATAACATTATATAGTCTCAAAATATGTTACACAATTTCAGAATTAATGTTGCTTCATAAACATTAACTTACACATGTTTTTGTATCCCCAGTGCTTATATTAAACCTTATAATCAAAGCTATTATTGTATACCCTTCTCTATGCAAATTGACAAACTATATACTCTTTGAGGATAAACAGGAAAAGCGATTGGGGATACTGAAGTCTTTAAGGTATAGAACATTTTCAGCTTCCTAATAGCAATTTAGAAATCTCATATGGAGTTAAGTAAGTTAGGTTAAAATTTGTATCCTGGAGATTTTTATTATAAATGAAATAACCTCAATAGTTTACTCTGTGGAAAGAGGCACTGTTAGTGTTTGCTCATTCATTCAATGAATATTTATTTTGCTATCACTGCTTGCCAGGCACTGGGCCAGATTCTAGGGATAGAGAAATGCTGGGGTCCAGCCCCGGGGGTCCAGGGGTTCCCAAAGGTGTGGACAGAGTCGGCGAAGATGTTTTACACGGAGACAGTGTTCAGAACCCTCTAGCTCTCTTTAGTCTCCGTGGATCTTCCCTGTGCCTGGCTGAGGCCACAGAGAAAGATCCCAAGGCAAGCTGAGCCTTTATTTTATAGTGAGAGGTAAACAAGGTAGTGGTTTCTATAGTTACATAGTTCTTGTGAGTTTCACTTGTTTTGACCATAGTTACACTTCCTGCACTTCCCTCAGCCCATTAGCTTCCCAGATAAGATCTAGAGAGCCTCATAAGGTCAAGCCTAATTATGCTAAGAGGACTGTGTCCTCTAAGCTGGGAATTGTTTGTGACTTTACCAACAGGCCAGTCCAAGGCTTAATCCTATATTGGCTCCCCACAGAGAAACTCAGTTCTTGACTTCAAAAAGTTCACAGCCTGGTGAGGAGAGTGACATGGCAACAGTTCCGATGTCCTATGACCCCTGTAGTAATGGGCCTTTGAACATGCAAATTTCAGTGGAAATATTTTCAAGCATAGCAATTAAAATGTTTTATACTGAATATATATCAGAGATGCTTTATTCTGTCTTTTCATGACTTAATTTACACTGACTCTAGTATCACTGAGAGGGGTTCATGTAAAGATTATCCTGTGCTTGATTATTTCACGTTTGAAATAAGTTACTGAAGGGGGACAAAAAGGTAGGATGAATCTAGGTTGCTTTTGCAGCTGACACTCAAGGTAAAGGTTTTGTGAGAAAGGATGTTTACAGCTATTTGCTAAGATGAGACCTAAGAAGTGTCTGTGCCCTGGTCCATCTCTGAGTCCCATCTTTATGGCACTTACCTTCATTTTCTGAAACTCTTGTTCCATGGTACGAAGGCTTCTCTTTGCTTCTTCATCTTTGCCCTCCAGATCGGCTTCTAGTTTTTTAATTCTTTTTTCCATAAATTCCACTGTGTTTCTATCTACTGTATCACCGGCTGCTGATGCAGCCAATATTAAAGCAGGTAAAGAATTAGGATATCTTCTCTTTAGAATTCCTTCCATTTCCTTAACCTAGTAAAATATTTTTGTATATATGTAAGTTTGCAAATATATAACTAAGCAGTTTAATATAGATTATGCTATATCAGTATGTCTAGATTTCAGAGATACTTATATCATATCTCACGACTGAACTGAATGCACAGAAGCACAAATTAATTTCAAATTTTACATCCTTAGATTGATTAAAAAATCTTACAGTATAATATCTAATTAATTACTGGTGAATTTACAGAAATCCTCTCATATTCATTTGAAACAGATTTTGGGACTATTATACTATTAATAATCAGTCTTTTTGAGGACAAAGAAAGCTCTTTTCCCGCCTTTTTTCTACAGATCTCCTCTAATGGTAGTTATGCTGTCTACTGACTGAAATATTACTTATATGCTCATGAATGTGCAAACTTATTGCAATAAGCATACCCCTTCCTGCAAGAATCTCCATCCTACCCTAACCCCCTCCAAATGAAGTATAACCTATTTTAAAATGACTTCAATTAGGAAGAAGAATTAGGTGACAAAAATGTTCATTTAAAAATGTTCATATAAAAACAACAACATATTATATGGTCTTCCTGGAGAAGAGAATGGCACCAGGGTGCACAGAAATTAGAGTTTGATTTTATATATTCATATGTGTGTATGCCTTCTTTTGTTAACGGTATTATGGTTAAGATATCTTTGGAAAACATATACTAAAACAATATTCTTTTAACAGTTTCCAGTCTCTGAGTATGCAATCAAATAAATAAATAGCACCTAAGAGGCAGTCTGTGCAGCTACAGCACATTTGCTGTTAAGACTGTGCCTCTAGCTTTATAACCTGTGTCAACTCAAAACCTCTGCTGCTTCACTGGCAAAATGGGGATGATAATACCAATTTCATGGCGTTGATACAACTAAGTGAGGAACAAATGACGTTTATTTTGGTAACGGGCTTAGGAGAGTGCCCACCATCTAGGGAGGCTTGATATTACTGTCTTTTATTTTGATCTGGTCTCAAAAACTACCTCCCTTAAGGTAAGATGGGTTGCTGGTGTTCAACATCCTGTTTATAAATTGAATATTGAAGTGTCACATCATTTGCAAAGTTAACAACAGATATTTCCGTTCATAAAAACTGCTTGCACAGTCACAGATGTACCATAAACTGGGATGTATCCAGAGATAAATATTGGTAACCAGATATAAATATTGGTAACTTATTTGTCTACAAAATTGTCAAAGCTTTAATTCCTCTGATATTTAAAACCTAGTCATTTCCATTAGATGTAAGCATATAAGGGTATATACATATACACCAAATGTATTAAAAAGAAAAGATCTAACTTTTGTTTTAACATATTTAATAATGCATTCCTTTAAAATTTTAAGAAATATTTTCAATCTGATTTTGATATCTTGAAATGTATATTTTTACCTTCTTTAATTTTGCTTTTTAATATTCTTTAATCACTGATACTAGTGTGGCTGCCATACAAAGTAAAAATTTTTAAAAAATTTCTCACTGGAATATCTATTAAATAAAAGTATGAACAAATGCACATAATTTGATTTTCACTATAATATACATTTAATTGGCTCCATTTTTACTTATGTGCTATTTAGAAAAGGAGATATATTATTCTGTAATTAAGCTATTTCAGAATATATGGCTCCAAAATGAGCTTGAATATAATATACCTTGATTATAAAATAAGTATTAAGGTTTAACATCATTAAGATAGAAATGTTCATGGGAATAGAATTAATAAGATCTAAAATGTACATGCAGCCAACTATACAAAATACTACTGACAATATTTTAGAAAGATATAATCGAAGATGATACTAAAAGTGTTAATAAAAGAGGAAGGTTATGGGGGGAAAAAGGGACATATGTAATACTTTCAACAACAGAGATTTTTTTAAAAAGAGGGAGGTTACTTTTGTAAAGCATATTTCTGGTCATTATCACCATTTCACATCTTAATTTTGCTATTAAGCATGCTTAATATTTTTCTCACACATTCAGTTCTATATTATTTCTTTTAAAATAAATGTATCTATTAGAGAGGTATTTTCTTTGGTTTTGTTTCTCTCACAAATCTGGATGGCTAATCTAAATCTAAGCACTGAAAAAGAGCCCAGCAATCCTGGTTACTTCAGAATATTTCTAGCTCTTCAGATCACCTTTGTGGTTCCTTTCCGGGAACTGAATCACACTCCAAGTCATACCTTTTAATATAAGAACAGGGCCTATAAAAGTAACAGAGGTAACTTTTTGCTTAGTTTTCCTTCTTCTCATAAAACTGAAATAATATTCAGCTTAGTGATGACCTCACAGTTTGGGGTTTATGATGGAATAATAGCCATACATTTAAGTGTCATTACTTGACTGAAGACTCATGCTCTCCATCAACAGGGCTGGAATATTTTATTTTAATATTTAGGTATGAACAGAAAAAACTAATTATGGAAAGTTTAAAAACAGAAGGAAAACGTTAACTAATAAATATTCCACCCCACAAAACTACTTCAATGAAAAAAATATTTATCATAATAAAAGTCACTATATGATTTTTGAAAAAGGTCCCCCAGTTACACTAACTATGAAATGAGTATTTTTAAGCCTAAATAATGAGTAAGAGCTCAAAATTATCACCAGCTCTTTGGGTGCTGAATGTTCTGTTTCCAGGGAGTCTGGTAATGCTTCCCAGCATTACCAACATGTTCCCAGCTCTACACCGAGTTTCTAAATTCTGCTTCCTCTTCCCTCATGTCTAATAGAGCTGATGTAAAATAACCTGTCCTCAATAGGTCTACCATCCAATGAGGCACACAAG